TCTGCCACCATTTGTAGGTGTGCAATTGCCCATGACTGCCATTGGGTGCGGGGTCTGGCTTTAGTAAGGCTGAGAGGTCTGATGTCCGCCCCAGGGTACTCCGCGGAGACGGTACGCCGCTGCTAGCTAGTCTAAGTATGCCGGACCGTACCTCGCCTACTCCACTAACGAGTCTAGGGAGTCGCCTACGCCTATCTTCCCTAACCTAAACCCAACCATATCAAATAGTTACCGGGTACGTTCCGCAGTACCCTGGGACATAGACACCTTTGAGCCATAGTAAGCTGTGGTGATACGGCGTTACGACCAAGTGTACCACAAGTAATTAATTTGATCGTAAAATATAGCGCGATGAAGGTTCGACGCTGAATGTTACTTTGACAGACTGTCTGGCGCGTGTCTCCCGCGTAGCACTACGTTCGAGTGAGGACGTCTCCTGCTGCTGGTGGGACTATGAGAGCACGCGTACAGCGGTTACCATGAGCTTACGGAGGCGGGTTGCGTGCGAATCAGATTTTCCCAATTGTGCGGGTGTGCACAGAAGGGACAGGCGCACAAAGGTGTATGGTCCAACATGGCTTAGAAGTTTAAACGATTCGGGAATAACAATTATGTTACTGTTCAAACAATGCGAAGAAAAGATGATAGCCCTGAAACTTTGGTTGATCCGCCAATGCAAAAAAATGGTAACAGCAGGAGTGGTAGAAACATGTGAAAATTACTGACAAATATAGTGAGGTTTAAGACATTTATGAATGCAAATTGTTAAACATTTACTGCATTGTATTCCTATCTTGTATTGATGCAGATTACTGTTGAGAATTAATTCTTATTATTGACATCGATTACACTATAACTGACGTTATCTGAATAAACTACCGACTCATTAGACTCGTTTGCTATAATAAATGGACAAGGGTGATACAAAATCTAAAATGTAATTTACTTTTATTCATCATTATTCATTATTTTCATGAATAAGTACAATACAATACATGTATAGTATATACCACTAAGGAGTTAGTAACTCGATAAACTAGCGTACACCAGTATTTACATTCCAAAACACATTTACCTCATATTAAGCAAATGCCAAACAGTAATGATTCCATCCTCTAGAACTAATTATCATGTTTAATAAAAATTAATTTCCAACCTATCATTTATATAATGGAACCAACTGCTGAGCTAATGTGAGTTTTTTTCATGAATTCTGCAGCATAACTACCATAGAACAATTAACATTCACAATAACTTCAGGACTGACACAGACATGACACCACATATAACATACAACAAAGCCTCATCGGTTGGAAAGTTTTTTCTTCTTCCTCAGTGGTTCTGCCTTTGAAACGTCCTTTCCCATTTTTGTTTTCTGGAACATAACATAATGTTTGCTTCACCTATACTGATTTCTTCCTGATAAAAACTAGATCAGCTACGACTAACTGAGTAAAGACAGTCATGAAATGCTTATAAATATAGACTTCTACGCACCTTTGCTTTCTGGACCTTCCTCTTTATCGCATCAATATCAATTGTATCTGTAATAAAAATATGACAGTCAGGCCACAACATATGCGGGAAAATTTACATAGTTTAATTGCATCAGTTTTAAAATTCTAGAGAAAACATGTGGGATTAATATGTTTCTGCACATAATTGTGTACTTGCCACTTTTCTTTGCAACTTTGACAGTAGATGGCGCTGGTTCTTCAGGGGGGATAAAGGCTCTGTTACGCTTCTCCTCTCTCTTTGCATCAGATTCTATTCTCTTTTCCTGTCAATCACATAATAGAACATTATTGCGCACAATTATCACCGCAAAAACTAACTCAGAGGAATAACAACATTAAATGTTATTAACCTTCTCTTACCTTAACAATGATAAATTAAATGACATGATTGTTAGGATCAGCAGGCAGAGCCGCACGTATATACATTATATCAGGAGTATCAATATTGATAGACTCCTGATTATATATTACATATATAGTATTATACACATCAGGTGTCAGCTAGACCCTACCAGGGCCACGAGGAACAACCTATACGCCACCTATATTCTAAGCTTACCTTGAGCTGTTCTGACTTAATTTGCAGCTTCTGCCTCTCTTGCAGGAAATATTCACCAGTTGCCAACTGCTTATCAATCTAAAGTCAACCAGAGAAGCATGGCATGTCAAACAACGGATAAAGTGATTATGGACAGATGCAATCACATGCTACACATATATGGCGTGGTTTTACACCGTGTCTTGAACAGTCAACGGGAAAACATAAAGACAAATCTAAAGGAGCTAAAGTTGAACAGCACTTTGAGTGTAAATTAATGGAAATACAGAAATCCCAGAATTCTGCCCAACAAAATGAGATATTCAGGCCACACAGCGAGTGAAGGAGGTAGAGAAGAAGGTGAGTTGTGAGGGCCATAGGCTGAGCAAGTTCCTTGGTGGAGGATTTTTTAAGAAATAAATCGCATATAGGATAGGATTAGGTTGAGGAGATAGTGTTTTGTAATTTGTAATAGTTTATATAAATTCTAAATGTGTTCCGTTATTCATTACATTCATTACTTGCAATTGTTACCTAAACATGTTTTTTATTTTGCTTCAAAATCTAGAGGGGCAGCTGCCCTAGAGATCAAGAGATACACCAGAGGTCACGACCCTGGGTAGCCATACCTTGCTGTCTGGCTGAGGAGGAGGAAATGGAGTGTAATTCTTCTTCGCACGCTTCTTGTGCGGCTGCTTCCTCTTGCTGATGTTCTTAGCGGCAAACTTTGGGAGGAATCGATCCCACGACTCGGTCTTTAGCTGCGGGTCCTTCGCTAGCTCCTTCTTGATCATCAGCGTCTGAAACATAGATCAGCCTTCTACATACACAGTTAACCTAACACTAACACTAACACTAACACTAACCCTAGCCTTAACCTTAACCCTAGCCTCAACCCTAACACTAGCCTCAACCCTAACCCTAGCCTCAACCCTATCCCTAGCCTCAACCCTAACCCTAGCCTTAACCCTAATCCTGGCTCTAATTTTAACCCTAGCCATATCCTTACCCCTAATCCTAGCCTAACCCTAGCTCTAAACCCATCCCAAATCTTAACCATAATCCTAACCTTAACTCTAACCCTAACTCCAACTTTTGGTGGGGACAAGTTAGATGTCGAGCAGCTGGGTTACAGTAAACGATAACTGGTTTAAGTGCACCTATTGCAAGTCAAATTTTGCATGGCTAATTATCATCTCTTTAACATGAGCACTAATAGCATATGATGGTGTGCCTTCTACCTTGATGTTGTAAATCGGGTGTATATTTTTCATGCAGTCTTCTATAATCTTCCTTGCCTAAAACAATGATAAACCAAAATTTCAATTATTCATAAAATTACAATCTGTGACAGGGATGGTGATAGATTGGCTGATCTTGCTTCCACTCACAATATTACATATGCAGACTCAATAGTTATATATCTAGCAGATACACTCACATCCCTTAGGCCGCTGTATGGACCTAGTGCAGACACTGTGTTACCCTGCACCAGGATATAGCATCCTGTAAGAAGCTCTATTGCCTGCAAATAGATGACAGAAAAATACTATTATTTCTACAAAACAATATGCATTGTAATGTAAACGTGTTGAAAAATTAACTGGGATAACGTTCACTTTGAAAGTGCCTATGAACTTGGGAATCTCAACCGGCTAAGTGTGTGAATTGTTTATAGCTTTGGTATGCCACCCCTTATCTTAATCTAGACAGCTGATGAACCACGTGAACAATGAGCGAGAATTGACCTTCAGTGTAGAACCATTCGGTCCAATTAATCTCTGCCGTCGCTTTACGAATCGTTCTCGATTTCTCGTTATTGTTCCGATCTTGATGATGTCACATGCAACGTTCTCCTCCATTATCTTTGTTGCCTAAACGTAGACACACAAGATACATCACTGACACTACAGTTAATGGAACTAAAACTTTTCACATACATGTATCAAAACGCAATGACCAAATATAAATTTGACTGTAAATATTTAACATAATAGAACCCTACGTTAGGTGACAGACGTCACAACAATGTTGCAGAGATAGTTCACAGACACGGGTCACACACACACACCTGTTCGTACGGTACGCTGCGTGCGAGAAGTCGAATCAAATCTCTGGCTTTGATGATGGAAAATGGATCGAAACATTTGCGTGTGGTAACCACGGTCATGCTTCCCTCTATCACATCCAACTCTGCTTTTATGCCCTGCAATAACAATGTTGTTGCGCCTAAATCTGGAGGATAGGTAGGTTTTTGCTAATTATCTAAATTGCTTAACAATAGTATTGAATTTGAATTTTACGTCGACACAATGCTAATGTGGTATTATTATAAGATTCGTAAACTTGTGACAATCAGTTTGAACACAGTAAATAGGTCTGTGAAGTAAGTTGAATTTGAATTTTATGACAAGCTGTCATATCCAGAGCTTGCAATGTATACAGACTTACATGATCTGCTAAGCTTTTCTTGACTAGCGGCCAGCAATCGCGCAAGTACTGTTCTCGGTATTTGGGAAATAGTGTCGCAAACGAACTCTCAGAAATCAACCCATGCGGGTTATCCTTCCGCGTAAATTCTGGCTCTTTCCATCCCTCCGGTATTTCCAGTATCTCGGGGTTGTCACTCTTTCGCTGCTTCTCTGTAACACTTATAACAAACTTCATATGAAAATTCTCCATCTGTCATACATTATGTGTTGCGTGTGAATTAATGAGCTACACATGTTTGTAAGTATGTAGTGTCATATTACTCATATAACGTCATATAACCTCATAAAGAGTACCCGTACTTACTACTGTCTGATTAGTCTTCAAAGTCCAAGGGAGTAGGCCTACAGACTACAGTACCATATTATATATTTTACATCGAAAAAAGTTGAGGAAATAGAAAGATCAACACTGCGGATCGCAGTAGAAAAAGCTTCACTTTTGCAAGTAACCAAAAA